ATAAAGGATGGACGTTGTCTTAGCATATAAACAGATGAGAGGGGAAAAACTGGTTTTCAATCACTTTTGTTGTGTGTGTGTGTGTGTGTGTGTGTGTGTGTGTGTAAATAGGAAAAAATAACTGGCCGATTCACCTGTCCAGTCTGCTGTTTGAATCCCAGTGCATTCAGCCTTATTTATCGTGCTTAATTAGGTTTGCCAGCCCTTCTTTCTGGAATGTTTGTTGTGTTTCATAGGGTTATGGCAGACAGTTACACAACAGTCCTCTACTTGCTGAATATTGGTGGATGAAATTTGACCTGGGTGACTCGTTGGTAGGGTTACCAGGCCAGCTGTCCTCCATTCAATGGGATGTCATAGGGTGGGGCTTTGTAATGTCATGGAGGCAGGGCGGGCAAGGCAGGATGCAGGCCAGCAATGGTGTAGTGAAAAGTTTAGAAGTACAGGTATAGGAAAGTCCCCACAGCCACCACTACCCTATAAAGAGGCTGGTGGAATGCAAGTAGGCTGGGTCAGTCTATATCAACAATTCAAGAGCAGCTGTTTTTTGAGGGTTGATGGCTCTTAGTTGCCCATTTGTGGCCAAACCATTGTCAAATACTTGTCTTTAGGTTTTGCAAAGGTGGAAAGAATAGCAATGGGCAAGGAACAATGTTCCCTTTTAGGACTGCATCTCCCAGAATCCCCACACCAGCGTGGCTGAGGGGTGCTGGGAGTTGTAGTCCAATAAAGCCATGTCTTCTATCTTTGGGGAAAGAAGGATATTAGAAATTAGCACAGGGAAAGAGAGAAGGCTGAATGTATATTGTACTATGGGAGGATTCACACACAATCCACAGGTTGTTGGTGTATGTGGGCTTCACATATCTCTCTGTAGGGGAGATGCCTTGTGACCCTTTCCAGACATTGCATAATGAGCATGCAAAGAAGGGTGATGCTGATAATGATCCGCAGAGTCACTCAGATATCCTTCACACAACATATTAATTTATTGAAAATCCTTTTCCCCCCCTCCCCACGCTTGATTCCATCACATATCTGAAATTGTGTCCCTAAAATACAACCCACAGACGATGTTATTCGGGGGTTTCGTTAAAAGCAAGAAATCTAATTTTGCCATCGAACCTCGTCACAGGGCTGCGACGTGGAACCATGTTCCAAAACATGGCATAGCGAAAGAGACCAAAATTGTAACCAGAAGCCAGACAAATATTTTGGGATTCTCCTGATCTTTAATCATGATAAACTCCAAGTATTATTTACAGAGTATTTCTGGATCTTAAAATAGAGAAATTGCCCTGAGCTCTTTCTCGGCTCCTACAGCTTCTCTTATGTGGCTACTTTTAAAAAGGGAAAGAGATATAACCTCGCTATTAGATGAAAACTGAACTCCACATACCACATTCGGTGCACCAAAAATACACGCCGCCCTTTTAAGGAAGGGTGTATAATGAGGCCCTTCTACACCGGCTGCTTCCACACCCTAAAGAATTATATGCTTTTTGCCCCAAAGACCACAGTAGATTACAGATTTCTGGCATGCTTGGTAATTACTTAATTAGGCAGGGGTGTTTGAAAGCATCGTTTGTACCCAGAAGACTAGAGTTCTACATGGCTGCCCCTATGCCTTGGATAATTACCAGGGATGCACGCAAGTCTTTGGATTTGAGCCCCAAGTTCGAATCTCCACTTTTGCAACCAAGTCCTGAATTCCAAACCCCATGTCTGAGTCCTTAATAAAAACAAGCCTTTTTTCCCCCAGGGGGAAAAAGGGAGGGGTGGGTGCAATTCAAGTTGCGAGTTGAATCCGAGTCATTTTAAACACGCACAACTAGTTGAGAATCGGGGCATCTTTGAGGCTATCAAATTTCACCTTGCTCACCCTGGAAGAAATTTGTCAGGTTTTTTTACTTTAACTGATACAAAATCTATGGATTTTCATGGATTGGAATCTGCAGGATTTTTAAAAATTTGTTCATTAGTGTGGCGTTTTGCGATTTTGTTCTAGAAAAGGAAAAGAGACCTAGTGGCAGAAGGCAAAACACTCGCCAAATGTCGCTGGACTGGAATCTCTCTCTGCCTGGAGCCAGGTTAGATCCAATTGTAACTATAAAAAGTAGACTCACTGAAGCAAATGAAACATGTTCATCAGCCGAACCTGAAGTCCTGACGGTTACAGCAGAACTGCTCTACTTTTGATTAAAATGGGATTTAGCCCGTCATTTCTCAAGTAAATTATGCCGAGCGTATGTTATCTAGGGAGGTTCGTGACTGAGTGAGCATATATATGGGCACCTTCCTGCTCTGCCAAGTTTTGTGAATTTCGTTGTATGGTATACTGTGTATATACTTACAATGACAATAAATTATCCCAGGTTTTACAGTCCTCCATTCATTCTGTCGTGCAGTAGAAACAGGTCGGGGGTGTTCAAGTACATCTCAGAATTTGGAAGCGTGTATTTTTGACCACAACTTGTTGGCTGAAGGATTCTGGGACTGATGGTCTAAAACAGCCCTGCTCAAGATAATTAATTAATTAATTCTCCTTTCCTTCCTTATATTTTTATCCCACCTTTCTCCTTAAAAAGAACCCAAGGCAGCTTATATTATTTTTAAATATATATATTAGTAGGAATGCAAATATTAAAAAAGAACTAAACAAGTATTATATTAAAAACAGTAATAAAATCATTACTAAAACACATTTAAAACAACAGAGCGTAACAATTCATTAAAAAACCTCTCTTCTACATCGACAGAATGCTCCGCCGGACTGGTGCAGTGGTTAAACCGGAGTACTGCAGCCCAAACTCTGCTCACAACTCTGCTCAAGGTTCACTCAGCCTTCCATTCCTTCTGAGATTGGTAAATTGAGTACCCAGCTTGCGCCTGGTGGGAGGCAATACGTAGCCTGCATAATTCAATTGTAGACTGCTCGGGGAGTGCTTTAAGCACTATGGGGCTTTATATAAGCAGCACACTTTGCTTTTATTCTGTCATGCCTGCTGTCTTCAGCTAGAGTTCTATGGATTGTCAATTTCACAGCCCTGTTCAAAAGTATTTTCTCAAGCACTTCTGAGTTCTTCAGGACCATGAAGATCTTGTGGCCCCAGCTCTGTCCCTCTTGCTGCTTTCTTCCTGTTCCATCCATTGATTTTTCTTTCCAAGGGTAATTAGCGGGTGTGATACCATGTAACACGTATAACGCTGTCTAGCAACTGTGTTCAGATCTCTGACAAAGTGGTGTTTGCAAAAAGGCAATCAGGAGCAAGTGACGGAAGTGGCAGCAGAATCTGAAACGGAGGAGCTATCAGAATAAAAATCGCTCCCAGCCGTCCGTGTAGCCAAGCCATCACACTTTAAAACTTGCAATCCAGCTGCTCCTGGGCTAAGCGTATTTGGAAAACTGGTCTGGCTGCAGCCTCTCTTCCTTGGCTCTTTCTCTTCTGCCATGGGGCACCTGTAGGTTGTTGTTTTTAATTAACAATTGAAAGGTCCCTCCTTGGATTTTTGTATACATACCAAACCGGCACCCCAAAATCCACGTAGAGATGTTTTAATTGCCAGTGAGAATCCCCTGCAGGTTATGTCATTTCCCCTTCTGCAGGCATAACTGTGCAACAGGATTTTGCTTGTGGTTCTTCTACTCTGGGGCGGATGCAGACCTTTGTGTTTGAATTGTACTACATGCATTCTTTTATTGTAAGAAGCTTTGGTTCCCATTCATGGGAGAAGGGTGGGGCAAGAATCAGGTAAATGAGTAAATCAGACCGAGTTTTTAAGGAGTGAAAGGTGAAAAAAAAGGGGAAACAGCAACAGGCAATGCTGGTCTTCATTATTTTACTGAGCGCTGGTGCAGGTTGGTGCAGGAAAGTGGGGAGGGCCAGAGAAAAGGGTAGTAGGGGGGCATGGTAGCAAGGAAAATGGACTACCAAGTTCCCTAAAGCCATCATACCCCCCCATGCAAACAGTTTTGGAAGAGATACTGTATTTTTTTAAACTACTCTACAATTCAGATTAGAGATGGGCACAAATAGCTGCTTTGGCAGTTTGATGCGGTTCATTTACTGGTCACACAGCTAATCCACAATTCAGCAATCTAGCCCCTCCAGCAGGGCGTGGAAGGGACGTGGGTGGCGCTGAGGGTTAAACCGCAGAAGCTTCTGTGCTGCAAAGTCAGAAGACAAGCAGTCATAAGATCGGATCCACACGACAGACTGAGTTCCCGTCGCTTGTCCCAGCTCCTGCCAACCTAGCCGTTCGGAACCATGTAAAAATGCGAGTCGATAAATAGGTACCACCTCGGTGGGAAGGTCACGGTATTCCGTGTCTAAGTCGCACTGGCCACGTGACCACAGAAATGGTCTTTGGACAAACGCTGGCTCTATGGCTTGGAGACGGGGATGAGCAGCGCACTCTAGAGTCGGACACGACTGGACTAAATGTCAAGGGGAAGCTTTACCTTTACCTTACCCCCTCCAGCAGGCGCCCACTTGGAGGCAGTGCCTGGAGGAGGTGGGGTAGGAAAGTCAGGGTGCTGTCTCTGAGTGGGGGCCGGTCGCCAAACCACGGATCAGTTTTGTGGCCAGTAAATGAACCACGGTGAACCACAGAAACCCATCTCTAACCCAGACGCCTTGCTCCTCAGGTAATTATCGGATCACCATGACAGCGATCCTTTCTTTGTCTTTTCAGGTGATTTCCCCGCCACCACCCTCACCCGAGCTCTGTCTTACCCTGCCATGGTCCTTTGTTGTGAGCGATGACACACCTGGATGCCAATAGATGTCCGAAGCCTGATGGAATGTCCTTCTGTCCCTCAGAAAATGATCTGGTGTGCTTGAGGGGATAAAGTGCAGCCGGCAGCCTGGGAGAACCAACTCCGCTGGGAGATTCTTCTTCTTTTTCTTTTCCCCACCCTTAACCCTGCAAACACGTGTTCTGATGGCTGTGGGGAGGTGGTGACACCATGTAGAAAAATCCTGAAGGGGTGTCCTAATTGTGTTGCAATGGTTTTATACACTTCCCCATTTCCCAACGGCTTTCTGTCAGCACTGCACTCTTTCTCCTGGGGCTTAATTTTCCCCTGTTACTGGCTCGGAGACCGGCTCATCGCTTCTTTTGTGCCCACCACCTACGAGAAACGCCAACGAGGAGACGACCCGTGCTACTTCCATGCCCTGTGCATCATCATCACCACTCCGATCTACCTGGCGCTGTTGGCAGTCTCTCTCCCTTTCGCCCTGATCGGTTTCTTGCTATGGTCCCCTCTGCAGTCCGCCCGGCGGCCTTACATCTATTCCCGGCTGCAGGACAAGAGCCAGATCGGTGGCAGCACTTTACTGACAGAATGGAAAGCCTCCAGCAATGGGAAAAGTTTCTGTTTTGGCAGTGCCAACGTTTGCCTGCTCCCCGACTCCTTGGCGAGACTCAACAACGTTTTCAACACACAAGCCCGGGCGAAGGAAATTGGCCGGCGGATCCGGAATGGGGCCAGCAGGCCTCAGATCAAAATCTACATCGATTCCCCCACCAACACAAGTATCAGTGCGGCCAGTTTTAGCAGTCTGGTCTCTCCTCAGGGAGGAGACAGCAATAACCGGTCAGTCAACGCCGGCATCAAAAGGACGACGTCCATGGAGTACAAAGGGGACAACTCCGGTTCCAACAACGGGGAAGAGAACAGAGAAGCACGGGCTGGAGGGGAGGCCAATGACGGAGAAGATGGCAACACGTGCATTGTGCGCATCGGCGGAGAGGACAACGGCCACGTTTCGGACTCCGAAGCCGATGGCATGGGAGGTGGCCAGGTCAATAACAGCAGGGGCCCCTCAGAACGTTCCCCAGAAGTGGACGCAGAGAACCTGAAGGGCCAGACCCCCAACCATAAGCAGAAGGAGGGGGATTCGGGAAGCCTAGATAGCTACACTGCCTCGCGAGAATCCCTAGTGAAGGTGCGAGCCGGGGATGGCCCGGTGGACCAAAGCACTATCAACAGCAAGCTCCTTTACAAGGCCTCGCTGATGAAGAAGACGTCCATGAGAAAGAAGAAGAACACGGACGAGCCTTTTGACCACGAGATCTCTGCCTTCTTCCCTGCCAACCTGGACTTCCTCTGCCTGCAGGAAGTGTTTGACAAAAGGGCGGCAGAGAAGTTGAAAGAGCAGCTCCATCATTATTTTGAATACATTCTGTACGACGTTGGGGTCTACAGCTGCCACGGCCACTGTACGTTTAAGTTTGTGAACAGTGGCCTCCTTTTTGCCAGTCGCTATCCAGTTATGGATGCTGCCTATCACTGTTATCCCAATGGCAAAGGAACGGACTCCCTGTCTTCTAAGGGAGCCCTGTTTCTCAAGGTAGGACTCTTTCTCTTTGTTGGCAGCGCTCGGGGGAAGCGTGGCTTTGGACTGTGGCTCCCAGAATCCCTCAGCCAGCCTGACCAATGTCCACAACGGGCTTGGCTATTCTGGAAGCAGTAGTTCCAAAAATGAACACTCAAAGCTGTACATTTTGTTGAGAAGCAGGGCGGTGTCTACTTTTTCAGGCTTGGGTCCTGAAGGGAAAGGAGAATGAATGGGAAAGGAAAGTGGGGGAATCCTTTGAGAACTACAATTCCCACAGGCCCTGACCAGTGACCATTTTGGCCGATAGCCTCTTAGCAAATAGATGAGTACTGTAGAAATTCAACTTGCTTGCTTCAGGGCGATAAAGCATGAAACGTAAGCCAGTTCGGTTGCGCTATCACTAAAACAATTAATGCAGCCGTCTGAAGGGATCCTCTGTGAAATCTAAGGTCCAAAATGGCTTTTTGCACCACTGTGTGTAGGTTTAGGGCAGCGGTTCATTCTTGGGTCTCCTGATGTTCTAGAACTCCCAGAAGCCTCCAGCCCTAGCTGTGCTGGCCCCGATTTCTGGGAGTTGTAGTCCAAGAACATCTGGGGACCCAAGGTTTGGAACCACTGGTTTAGGGACATTCTGACCTGAACTTCCCTGGTGAAAACTGGTGAATTTCATGCCAGACCTTTTAAACTGGTTAGGGCTTGTGAACAGGGTATCCCCCTTAAAGGGGTGAGATGCTTCCTCCATGTCAGTACACAAGCCACCCACAATTCCAGACCATTAGGTTTAGCTTTTGATCCAGGGAACCATGATTAAAACTCCATAATCATGATTTTAGAAAGTTCCATGCAGTTTGCAAACTTGTTTGATTCTAGTGCCCTTGACTTTTCTTCCTAGTGAATGCATTGTTCTGCGAACCAGGTCGATGTTTTCATGACTCAGCCTTTGATTATCCAAGGGAATTTCCAGATTTCGGAAATATTATGGGTTGTGTTGTGTTTTTGTTTTTTTTTTATCACAACGCTAGCAGAGACTGGCCATGCTCCTGGGAGAGTTCAAGTTGCAGGCCAACATTTTTTAAAAAGTTAACTTTTCCAACTCTGTAAATATATGGTTGATGAATGAGTTGAATTCAGGCCAGGTGCTTTAAATCCCCATCCCAATGAATCATTTGGTTGTTGTTTTTGAAAAGCCCACATCTATAGTGGAATAATCTTTGAACAAGGTGTTGTATTATTGTTGGCTTTAGCAAGCAATAGTGATAAGTGTAGCGCTAAGATGATAACAGGTCTTTGAAACATCACCATTTATTAACTTTGGATTTTAAAGTTCACCCGTTCTCACCAGATGATGTCCCAAGACTTTTTCTTACAACATAACTTTCCAATGCGGGTATTTGAGATGCAGCTTTGATCAATGGGAGATCTTTTGCAGAAGTAAACATGGTGCAAAGTCACCAAGTGAATTGTTGAAGCTGTAATTAACTTCTTTTTAAATGAACCAATAATTCAAACTGATATGTCTGCAAGAGACGTGGGAGAATATTTATCCCACACTTTGAAAGCCAGAAAAAAAACTAAGAATGCCAGAAGGGAATTTGTGAGTGGAAAACATTTAACAGTACGGTGTTGGTGAAGAGGGAAAAGTAAAATAAATTATGAGAACGCAATATAGGAATTCAGGTTAAAGAGCATAGTGGTGTTCATGTTGCAATAAGGTGCAGTAATTATGAGATATTGAGCACCGAATTAATTTTCTGAAGTATCTCAGAATTTACTTTTTTAAACAAAGTTTCTAGCTCTCATGACTCAGAAGATATACCTGAAAGTGTATGGGAAAGAGCAACTGAAGTCTCAGGATGCTTAGAAATTTAGCTGTAGGCCTGTGTAGGCTGGCCATTTTGAGTGTGGGGTGGACTGGGCTACAACGGAGATTGTTGAGGTGGTGGGGAGGAGGGATGTGCCATTTGGTGTGTGCCTCCCCAGTCAGCTATCAATTAAGCATTTTACCTGACCATTTGAGTGACATTCCGTTTTCTCCCGTCCCTCCTCCCTGCTTCCCTTCCTTCATTCTCCTCCTCCCACTTTATCTCTCAAATTCTCCCTTGGAATCTTCAGCTGCCGGAGTCTGCTGTCTTGTGGAGAAACAAGCTAAGCAATGAGTGTGCCAAAAAGAATGCATGCCTTGCTGCTGGGCCAGAAAGGTGCAGGACAGCTGTAAAGGAGAAGGACAGCTCATTCTAAGTAGAAACACTAGCAGACAAGGTCTCTTTTTTTCTGATCCAAACCATGCCATCAGCGAGTCATCTATCATATCTATATGCCCCTATAGACAGGCCCCGTGTGAAGTTTTCTGGTTTCCTTCCTGAATGTTGACTATTGATGTCATGTGCAACTTGACACCACCAGCAAAATTAAAATCCATGGTGCAAAATACACTTAAAATCATAAAAAAAAAGTTGGATATTTTCCCATTTTCTATGGGATTCAGCTTTCTATGGGGAATGATTTGGGCTCAATGTTAGCTTTTTCAGTTAAGACACGACACAGCTCAGGGATCGTGAAATCAAGGCCCCTGGGGTGTTTCTAAAGAGCACAGGTTGCATGAGCAGCTTGGAGTGGACATGGAAAGGTGGTCCATCGTATCCATGTAGGCCTTAAAAGACAATATGTACCAGCCATTTAAACAGAGCGGTAAGAAGAAATCAGGGCTCAGTGACTGTGTTTTGCAAGAGTAAAGGGAACAATCACTTTGGAAATGGATCCTAGTTATGTTTCAGGTCTTTATTGCCAAGGAAAGCACCCTGGCAAGGATTAGAGGTCGCTGCTTATTTCGAAAATGGGAGCTGGTGCTACTTAGAACGGGAGATTTATAGCATTCCACTGCAAACACTTCTTTATATGTGGAGGCAAACTGTTGGCTGCTGTGCTGATTAAAAGCGGGGGAGTAGAAGTACAGCCAAACATTCAAGAGAAGCCAGGGAGCGCCAGTCTCATAAACAGCTCAATCCACTGCACAGTAAAGTCAAATTACGGGGTTTATGTGATAGTCGATGCCTGTTGCCACTGGACTTCTAACAGCTATCTTTTTGGTGACTACACACCTTCTCTCTCTCTCTCTCTCTCTCTCTCTCTGATTTTGTGGGTGAGCAACACAAAATGCAAGAAAGGAGTAACACACAATATTTGTAATCTTGCTGAGACTTCAGGTTGAATTAGATATTCAGGGCTGAAATAGTCAACAGCGCAGGCGTCCATAGAACCACCTCTCTTCCAGTAGTAGCCATACTGGAACGCGCCTGCATGACCACGAAGATGGGCACAAGGTGTTGGTGTTGATTTTGTATGTTCCCTGTGATCATCATGCTTGAGAAATGCTGAAGGCATCAGGGAAAGAGGAGGACTGAACCAGGGACAGTTTGACTCAATAGAGAAAGCCAACGGCTTGAGTTTGCAAAATCGGAGCTCTTGATGATAGGATCTTTTGGAGAGCGTGGATTCATAGGGTTGCCAGAAGCAATTTGACAATGCAGAACAACAACATATAGGAGAGAGCAAGAGGGCCCATATATTAGGGTTAGGGTTAGGGTTAGGGTATATATATATATCTGGGCCCTCTTGCTCTCTACTCCCAAACTCTCTTTTTATGGTTCATTCTCAACAAACCAGACATGGACCAAAGAGCGCTTCAGACCAAGAATGTTTTCAAAGAGCCTTTTCAAGGGAGAGCTGTCTTCTTTCAAGCAAGACATACGAGACGTACCCATCAGTAGCAAGGGGGCGGGGTATGCAAAATCAGATTGATTATGCACCTCTGCTTAATTTTAGTAATCAGGTCAGACAATTGTGTCTCTCCCTCCCTCCCTCTCCCCCCCCCTTCCATGCTGGCTTAAAGGTAGAGTGCTTCTTCACACCGTTCACATAGCTCAACTGCTGAATTCACTGCACAGAACATAGCCGTGGCTGCCAGCTTGGAGCGTTGGATGAATTCATGGAGGTGTGGTGACTTTCAAGATGGCCATCCATCACCTCCTGCATCATCATCTGTTCTGGAACATAAGATGAGAGTGTGCTGCTGGATTTATTTCCTTCTGGCAAGCTTCCCCCCGGGGGCCTTTGATTCACCACCTTGAGAACAGAATCTAAGGCTACGTAAACCTTTTGGTCTGATCCAGTATGGCTTTTGCCTGGTCCAGCATGATGTGTTCATCTGGCCTCCAGATTCTTTGGCCACACACAAAAACTCATGCAATGTTACTAATCTTTTCAATGTCTGTTGAGAGAATGCACCCATGCTGACTAAGAGCAGAGTTTGGAAATAACGCACCAGATTTACCATGTTAATATTAAAATAATCACTTTCCCATTAACAAGGACGACAAGCCAATGAATGGATCTAAAGAATAATATTTGGAAAGGAACCATTTTAATACTACTTTCAACATATTGTGTCTAAAGGCTTAGACACATTCTTTCTCTAACACAGAAATAACAGTTTTAACATGTTGGCTGAAATCCCACGGCTTAGTGTAGGGAAGGACAATAGAGGATTGACTCACCCAATCTCTGTACAGTCCGCTCCTTCGTAAATTCAAATGACCTTATTCTAGTTGTATCTTACTACTGCACCAAGCAACAGGATTTCCATCCCATATTTCCAGGCTTCAGGAGTCAAGAATGGTGAAGCCGAAGGTACCTGGAAGATCAAACGTTCGCCTTTTTTTTTGAAGTGCAAAAATTAAGGCGTCTCTAGAGACCCCGAAGGCTGAACATTTCATGAGGGCAGCGAATCAACTCTGAATTTTAAAAGCTGCTGAATCTGTTTTAGAGACAGAGTTCCGGATTTTTGGATCACCCCACACAGAATTTGAATTAAAACCAGGAATGCGTTCCTTAGCTCCCCAGACTCCTTTGAGCAAAATAGCTGGTAACTGTCTCCCTTACTCAAATTGCCGCAGGCACAGCTGACATGCAAAGATGTTAAGTGCAACAAGAGTAAATGAATGAAGCTGCATGTA